GAGCCACTGGCTACCTGGAGCTGTCCGACTGGCCAGAGGTGGCGCCTGACCCCTCTGTCCGAAACGTCGATGTAGCTGAGTCGGTATGTCAGCATCATGAAAAGTAACTTCGCTGAAGGCACTTATCAATATAGAATATTAGCCTAAAATACAAGTATTTCGATATTATCTGTATGCTGTACTGAAAAACATTGATCCATGTGTACACGCACGTTGCTTATTTTAGCTTGGAAAGGGAACATTTGGAAACTTGCATGGTGCTTTCTCTTTTCTTTTCAATGAGAGAAGTAGATCAACTGTAGGCCACTTCTGCTTCGCTCGTAGATTAAATGGGCTTCATCCCCTCCACCTCACTTTTGATTTCATACCTCTTGTATTTGCTGTGGTGCAGTATGTTAATTGCTGTTAATAGTGAGTGTAGCTGGACTACCAAAGTAAGAGGTGAGCAGAGGTTTATTCATGTACACATCCAGGTCTAAACAGAATAGGTGATATAAACAAAAGGCAATGGCAGGGGAAAAAATTATGTATGTTTCAAAGTGCAAAGTTTAGAAGAGACCAGGGTTTACATTTCAGATCATCTGGAGAGTTAGAAAAGTTTATAATAGGAAAATGTCATCTGCTCATGCACTAGTCATTTGTTGACATTACAGGGCTGGTCTTCTACTACCAATAGCTTTTTGTTACTGGATTGTGAACTCTGAGACAAAGTCATATTCTGGTACCAGAGCTGTGATGTGTGCATCAGGTACCAGAGTCCCACTAAATGTCAGTTAAACCTATTTAACAGTAACAGAAATACAAATGTATTGGAATACAGTGTGCTGATGGTGCTCCCAGAGGTATGTTGTTGTAACAGGTATACCCAGAAAAGCACATGGTCGTTGTCGTGGGCCAACTCCTACAGTAAACTGCACATGAATTATTTTGCATAAAAGATGTTAGGCATAGAATAGGTAGAGAAAATTCTAAAAAACAGGTATGACTTGTGTAAGCAAGTGAACAGCAATGTGGTAGAACATGCATTTCTCCTTAGTACTTTAATACTACTTGTCTACCTGCTTATATACATTTCAGGAAAAGGTATATGTGTACAAAGGTCTGAAAGCTTTTATGGGAAGAATCTGAAGGCAATCAGCTTGAGCAGGGAATTATAAATGATAGGTTTGGCATGAAAGAATGTGTGGAGGCACCTTTGTCCATAAAACCAAAGGTATTGCAGGAAATTGATCAAATGGAGTGACATCCATCTACAACATAATAGAAAACATCTCCCTCCAACCATTTAAACTTCAAAACAAACATGAAAATCCTTTCCCTGTGGTTTTTTTTGCAAGTATTTTCTTTGTAGAGTGTCTCATCATCATTAATTTTGTGATTCCTATAATGCTGCATGTGCCTACACAATGTATGGGAGTGAAGCTGAGTTGTTACACTGCAATTCACAATTAAATTGTCATTTATATCAAAAAGAATATTGGATTTTTAAAATGTCAGTTGCTGGGTGGAGCATTACAAAGCTTTAGCAGCTTTTGGTGTTTAAGAGGAAGCCAGTGTGTCTCTAGAGCCGTACGCTGTTGCAGTTCACTGGTAGAACTCTTTCAAAAGTTGGTCTTATTCCAGATCAGAGCAGTCACTGAGGCAGACATGTATCACTCAATATAGTTGTCTGCCTATTTGGTTTTTTTTCCTGGCCTGAGTTTTCTTCTGCTTCTCTAGTAGTATAGGGGGATATGGAAAGATAAAAGTCTGGCCAAAGTATTGCCACGTTCTGGTGTCCTCTTTGTGGTAACAATTACTTTTATTTGGAGAATTACAAAGGAAGTGAAATATAATTTCTGTGTGGCTGCAGGAACTTGTGCTGCCTACTGGGTCCACATCTGTTTTCCCCTTAAAATTTGGGATGATAAAGGTGGTAACTAGCCATATTTACCCTTCATTCTAGTCATAGGCTAAATTCAGCTGGATCTAGAGATAAAACTCTCAGACTTCAGGTTCTTTTGGCATAGAAATTTATTTATGGTTACTGATGCTTTTAATCTGCCTTAGTAAATCTTTTTCTAGACTCTCTAATAGACATATCTCACCTTTTGTAGGTATATACAAAACTTTTTGTTCTCTTAATTGTGTCAAGTCAGAGAAGTTTAATAGTTTCTCTTGACTGGCTTAGAGGATTTATTTAGAAACTGCTTAATACTACTACTGCGGGTGCTTTTCTTTGCTGTGTTGTGTGTGTATTTTTGTACTGCTTTTTGTAAAAGTAAACTTCAGTTGAAATTTATTTATAGGCAAAGGAAAGGCCTGGAATCCTAGGTAAGACAAGGAAAGAGAAACCTGCTGAAAAGTTCTACTCTGAATCGGAAGAAGAGGAAGAGGAGTCTGCCAGTACCAGTGCATCAGGTAGGTGTTTGAAAAGCAACTTGCATCTCTCCTGCCTGGACAACTGGATGTTCAGAACTGGGCACTACTTAAAAAGAATTGGAAAAAATTTCAGAAAAAG